CCCGCGCTGCCCCGCCCGTGCAGAAACACCCCTGCTGCTGCTGGGTGGGCTTCTGGCTGGGGACAGCCCAGTGCCTTCAGCCTGCAGGAGGAGGAGGAGGCAGCACAGGGTGGCAGAGGGGGTGCTGGAGGGGGCAGACCTGCCACACCTGGCTCTCCCTCCACAATGCACGGTGCCCTCGCTCAGGACCACTTACCGTGGCCCAGGCTCAGGACCACTCACCCGGGTAGGGCAGCTCTGCCCACGGTGCCCATGGTGCCCACACCCCTGCCCCACGGCACCACCCCGGGCACCCACATCCCCCTATGTCCCCCCAGCACTCACGTCTGGTCCTGGGGGCCCCACAGCTCCTCGGGGGCCAGGGAAGCCCAGTGAGCCAGCCTGGCCCCGGGCCCCGGGCAGCCCCTCTGCTCCTCGTGCTCCACGGGGACCCTGGAGGAACAAGAGCTGCACGTCAGAGGGGGGCTGACTAAGGGGGGGTTGTGTTGTGGGGTGGAACCTCCCATGGACCCACAGCCCCCTGCACACTCAGCCTTTGGGTCAATGCCCCACAACCCTCCACCGAGAGCATCCCTGGGGCACCAAAGGTGAGCAGAGGGTTTTAAGCAGCTGAGGCACCAAGCACAACCTGAGCTGTCTGGTTCTTGTGCTCCCCGAAAGCAAATGCCCCTGGACATCCACCAGCCCACCCACGGGCTGGAAATGGGATATTGGAACAGAAAAAGAGGAAAGAGCTCGAGGAGCCCCCTGTGAGTGCATGGCACCTTGTCTCCTTTGGCTCCCAGGTCTCCCTTGGCTCCACCTGGACCTCGACAGCCCTGCAACAGCAGCAGAGGAGGAGGGGACACTCAGAAAACCACCTTATGCCACTCCTTGCATGCCAAGCATGCTGTGATCTGATTCTGGCACCCCAGAGAGTGAGCTCTGCCCCGTTCCCATCTGGGGTTTCAGCCCCACGGGCCCGTTGGAGCTGGGAGCAGACCCAGGCTGGATCTGCTCCTCATGCTGGGGGTGCTCCAGAGCTTCTGGGGTCGTTCACCACCAAGCTGTTGGTGCTCCCAGCACCCAGTGCCCAGCCCAGCCCAGCTCCCTGGCAGGCAGGATGCTGAGCACAGCCAGTGGTGCCACCCCAGCTGCCCTGTCCTGACACCAGCCCAACCACGGGGAGCCCCTTGTCCTCATCCCTGTGCTCCTAACATGGGCTAAAGCCCCCCCTTGTGCCTCCCCAGAGCAGATGGGACACACTGGCACACTGAAGGCTCCTCTTTCAGTGAGGTGAGTGAGCCCCAGTGCAGCTCTGCCTTCCCAAAACGTGGCAGTGGCCACCTCTTCACATGCCAAGGCCAAACACAAGCACAGACCACGCTGCTGGTGCTTTGGGCTGCTCTGGTGTGGTTCCCCTGCATCCCAAGCAGGGATGGCATGGGTGCCATCACTCACCCGCTCTCCTTGGGTGCCTTTGGGACCTGGCAGGCCAATGAACCCCTTGAGAGAGAGACAAGATGTGAGTTAAAAAGAGGAGGAAAACCTCAGCTGCAGTGGTGGAGGCTGACAGCCTCCCAGGCTGCAGGGGTGGGAAGAGGCTGATGAATTGGAGAGGCCACTCCAGCCTTGTGGAGCTGCTGGTGGGATCTGCCCTCCAAGAGGGACCAGAGGACACATAAGCCCTCCCGAAGCTGCCCCCAGTGTGAGGACGGGGTCCTTGTCAGCCTCCAAAAGCCCCATGCCCACCCCACCCTGCCTCCCTCAGCCCCTTTGCAAGCAGCATTTTCAGCTCTGGGGGTCAAGGGCTCAGCATGTGAGGAGTAAATGCCCCCCAGGGCCAGGCTCAGCACCGTGGGGAGGCAGCTCAGCACCCAAAGCCCTTGGGAGAAAGGGTCCCAGCCCAGGGGAAGGAGAGGCAGGGCCAGGGCTGGGCCATCTCTGCCAAGAAACACATAGGGAAAATGAAAATAAATATATATATATATCCCCCAAGATTCCTGGAAGCAGCAGAGTCAGGGGAGCTGTGGAGCTGAGGGATGTGGCCACAGAGCCATGGGCATCATCCA